TCGTGTGAGTGTCTTGCCTTTTTACCACCGACACTCTGGTGTGTGCGTGTCCATGGAGTATGTGTAGCCACGTGGTATGTGCGTGGCCATGTGTGTGCGTGCCCACTGTGTGCATCCTCATGGCATGTGCGTGTCTGCTAGTGTGGTGCGCGCGAGACTTTCGTATTGGTCTCCTCCCGGCCCGTCCCCTTGGTCGCGTTATGTTCTCAAGTCTGTTGGAAAAACCCAGCTCCCCTCTTGGCCCAGGCCCATTTGGGGGCATCTGAGTTTGTCACTCACAGTGTCAGCCAAGTGGTAAAGGGGGGACCTCCACCCGGCCCTCCCTCCAAGGTCACTGCCGAGAGTGCGACTCTGGTGAGTTCATGCACGCAGCCCGGCTCGGCCAGACCCCAGGATGTGGGCTCTGACAGACCTGCCTCCCTCCCATGAGCCTCAGACCACAGGGGACTCGAGTGTGTGGCTCTGTGTCCCTGAACTGTGCCAGCAGCCTGTCCTGCCTCTGCCTGGGTGGCCCTGGGGACAGGAAGGATTAGAATAAAGCGAGTCTGCTGGGTTCCCAGGCTCATGTCAGCGGTGCCAGGCCCCATGAACCTCCGTGCCGGAGAGGCGCTTGGGTGGCCTGGGGCGGGGTCTGCTGGAGGCCAGGCCGGCAGCCCCCCAACCTGTCCTGCAGCCTCACCACCAGGCCCTCAGGTGGTCAGGACCACAGGCCAGCCTGCCCAGGGCGCCCACTCCCAGTAGAAACACCGGGTACCTTCCTATGGGCCACCTTGTAAAGCACCAGGGTCAGCGTGGTCTTCACGGAAGGAGCATAGGTCAGACTGGCAGGTACCAGGAGTCTGCCCCCGCCTACCTGCCAGCCGTGCCCTCTCCGAGACGTGAGTTTTCTGTTAGGGAAGGGGGTGCCCAAGCAACCGATCGGGTGTGGTGGGGGAAGGGGAGGCAGTCAGGACAGAGGTGGACACCATCCAACCCCTGGGTCGTAGGGTGACTCCACAGGGTCTGAACGGAGGCGCTTTCCTTCTGGTGGAAGCAACAGACCAGGAGCCCCGCTTCACCCCACAGTGGGCCCTGCCGGGGGTCTCTGGCCTCAGGCCCCCTGGCCCAGTCAAGCCTCATTTTCGTCATCGGTGGTACAGGTGCACACAGCTCTCAGGAGCTGCTCAGGGTACGGGCTGTGCCCCGGGAGGGCACGGCCAGCATTGGAGGGCCTGGGTGCTGGACAAGAAGCCTGAACCTGATCAACCCAGCCGATGGGGCCGAGATCCCCGAACCACCCTCCACTCCAGTTCCTCGTGGGCCTTCTGTGGGCCTGGGACCCGGCTAAGCCCGGGTTTGGTGGGCTGCTGGTCATTATCAACAGGGATCCCAGAGGTCATCTCAAGGCAGAAAGACCCGAGAGGGAAGACGTGGAGGGAGCTGGCGGTCTCTGCCCACTCCCACCGAGGGTTGGCACATCTGACTACCCCTCTCGAGCGTCCCAGGCCCTCAGGGGCCGCTGGACTAGTCCAACGTCGGAGGGCTGTGGGGGAACCTACAGCCCTTGAGCCCATGGCAAAGCTGTTGCTTTTCTGGGAGGCCCACGGCACCAGCCAGATGGGGCCCTGAAGCCTTGGGGGGGGGCACCAGACCCTATGAAAGTGGGGAGGGGCCTGCGTCGTTGAGGAGCAGCTTCCCAAGGGGGCAGAGTGTGTCTGTTAGACCGGCTTTGCTCTAAAACATGAGGCAGTCTACCTCAAAACTTCTCATCAAAAGTTGGCAGATCTGGGGCCAGCAAGTGTGGTGGTCAAGGTGCTGGACTCCCACATTGTCGACCACAGTTCAAGTCCTGGACCTGGTGGGTTGAAATTTACATGTGCATGCGTGCCCGAAACCCCAAGAGGAGAAGGGGTTTGTGGTGTGGCCATCCCCCTTTGGGTGGCTTCTCACTTTCTCTCTGACGAACCCATGTGCACTATAGCCAAAATCTCAAAAAAAAAAAAAAAAATACCGAGCACATGTGGGTGCCTAAGATCTCAAGAAGTGAATGGAGACGGGATTGTGACATGGCCATTCCCCTGGGGTGTGGTTTCTCGCTTTCCCTTTCTCTGATTCCAGCGGGCACTTTAGCTCTGTGACAAAAACCAAAAGATAAATGAAAAATCAGGGCCAAGAAAAAATCAGAGCCAAAGACCGGCAAACTCGGGCCTTCAGCTCTGTCTGAAAGGACCTTCTTGCTTTGGTCTAGTGTCCCCCTTCAAAGAACCAGACCTTCCGATGAAGCTCACATCCCTGACCGTGTCTCTCTGGCCACCAGACTCAGGCCGAGTCCCAGGCTGCGGTGGTCCACAGTGTGGCCCCGCACCCTGTCTGCCCACTGCCCTCCCACCTGCACTGCCTACCCATGTCCAGCGCCCGGTTCCCCCTTCCTGTCCACAGCGCTTGTCCTTCTGCAGCACAGAGGTGGGAGTGATTGGGGGCCAGAGGCTTAGACCAGTGGTGGGGAGGCACATTCACAAATTTACGTCTGATACTTTGCCAGGGCTCGCCGGGTCTTGGGAGAGACCCAGCCTGAGAGGGGGCCCTGCCTTTGCAGGAGTGAGTTACTGACATGAGGTCTTCATTATGAACAACTATTTGGGAGGCCAGCCAGGTGGTGTGAAGGCAGCTAGATCCCACATGGCCAACTGCACGGTTCAATTCCCAGTCGGGCTTTGACAGATACACCAGGCACGTGTGCGTTCATGGACTGTGGCCGCAGTCATCCATCCTAGGGGATCCTCCCTGTCTCCAGCAAGCACATGCATCCTATAGGAAATTTTAATTTTTTTCAAAAATTTTTGCACCAAAATAAATTCATACTTTGATTCATGTTTTCCCTGAGCTTTTTGAAGTTTGTCTGCCTGTGAGAAGCAGCCCCGGAGGTTCATCCATCCCTCTCCATGGAGCCCAGCCACAGAGCAGCACCTGACACCCTGACCATTTGCTGGACATGGGAAATGGTTGGTTGGGGCATCCGTGGTTGATCTATCTGTGGGGGCGTGGCTCCCTCTGCAGCTCCTGGGCTGGGTTTGAGGAACTGTCGCTGTTCCTGTCTTGGGCGTGTTTGTTGCCAATCCTGCCAGGCTTTGTCGGGCGCACTGTGCCCCTACCTGGCAGAGCTCAGCCCCACCCACCGTCTGCGGACCACGAACCTGTGTAAACTCAGGGATGCGGCCACCTGCACCGAGCTCTGCCCCGCTCTCTGTGAAGCCAGTCCTGCTAAGTGACAAATGTCCCAGGCTGGGGGCGAGCTCACACAGTCTGGAGTCCGAAGTCCGCGAGCAGGTGCTGACATAGCCAGGCTCTTGGTGAGGGCCTCTAGGGCCTCTGCTAGATTCAGGTGGCTTAGGGCCCAGAGCTTCAGGGGAGACCAGGCTGTGTCCTCACAGCGGGAAGGGAGAGAGCTGGTTCTTACAAGGGCAGTAGCCCATCTGGTCAGGGCCCCACCCTCGTGACCTCACCTGACCTTAGTTATTCCCCTAACGGTCTTGTCTCTGAGTGCAGCCACACCAGGGCTTAGGACTTACACACGAGTGTGACAGGCACGAAGCTCAGCCCACAGTGCACTGTGGCTGACGGGCCCATCATGCGTGCAGGAGCCCAGCCCAGGCATGTGAGTCTCAGCCCCCACGCCACCCCCGCTTCCCAGTGGCAGGGTCTGCTGGGGACATGGCACTTCGGAAAATGGAGGGGCCGGTGGTGTGGTGGTTAAGGGTATGGCTAACCACGGTTCGAGTCCCAGAACTGACAGCTTGCTTCCTCATTTTCCCTTTCTATGCCTCTCTCTGGTCAAATTAAAAAATAATAATAGTAATAAATATTTAAAAAGAAAGACAGTTTGAGGGCGAGCAGGTGGTGTGGAGATTAAGGCAGCTAGAACCCGCCTGGCTGGCTGTGCAGTTTGCGTTCCAGACCTGATGGCTGAAAAATCATCCCAAGCATGTGTGCGTGCCCGAAATTGCAGGAGGAGAATGGAAGAGAAGAGCCTGGAGTGCCCACCCCTGGGGAGTGCTTTCTTATTTTCCCTGTGATGTGTGCACACATCCTATAGCAAACTAAAGGGGGGGGTGACAGCAGGGCGTGGTGGTTAAGGTGCTAGGCTCCTACATGGCCAACTACTGTTTGAGTCCTGGACCCAGTGGCTTGAAAATCACTCTGGGCACGTGTGCATACTGCTCAAAATCTGGAGAAAAGAACGGAGGAGAAGGTGTTGGGGTATGGCCCTCCCCCCACCCCAGGAGTGGTTTCTCACTTTCCCTCTCTGTTTCTGGTGAGCACTCACTCTATTGCAAAAACCTTTTAAAAAGAAACAGAAAACTCAGGTCACTGTAGGCTTCCCAGAGACCTCGACTACACCCTGCTGAGTTTACACCCTGGGCTGTGTGTGCACATGGATGCCTGTGTGTGCGTGGCCTCGTGTGAACACTCCACAGCACTCCCACCGTCAGACGTCCCTTGGAGCACTGCCATGCCCTGCGGTGTTCTCTCTAGAAGGACTCACTGGTCTTGGGAGGGAACCACGGAGGTAGGCATGGCCCAGGAGTCCAGAACGTGCTCTCAGTGCAGGCCCGCTCCGAGGAAGGGGGTGGGGCCCCCAGCAGCGACCCCCCCCCCCAGTCAAAGGAAGACTCCAGGAGACAGGGACCAGCAGTGTGGGGGGTGCTGGACACCATGTAAAAGTGGGGTGTACCAAGGGGGTGCCCTCTCAAAGTTTTGATCATTCGTTATTTCCCATTTGCCCATGGAAGTAATACCGGGCCCATCATTTAAAGAGGAAGACTTTGGGCATATGCCCAAAGGCACTGAAAGTGACGTCTCCCGGGAGTACGTGGCCTCC